ACTTTTGTAGGAGAATCTTTCGAAAGATTGCTAACTTTGTAGGACTAAGAGTGAGAGCAATGATTTAAAGGAGCGAGATTGTTTTGTTGATTTAGAGGAGTGGGATTGTGATGATAATCCATAGAGTAACAACAATTTCCTAGGAATAGGAAATCTAAACTTTCTTCCAAACGATAAGCAATTTTGTAATCGATAATCTGATAGGCATGAACCTTCTCTATCTCCAATCTCTTTATTTCTCGAAGATAAGGAGCAACAGGACGAGAAACTTTCTTTGCAATCTTCTTAGGAGGAGACATAAATAATGCACACAAATTTTTCAATATACTATGATGGCATAAGATCACACTAATTAGCCTAACTTCATACACTTAACTTAAATACGAAAGCACGATATTAAGAACACAATAAAGCACGCAACATTTAACACAACAACATACTTTTATTAATATCATTTATAACGTATTTGCACACAATATTTGGATGCCTTGACAAACCCCCAAGGTAATCTATTTATAGGCATGGGAGGACAGCCCCCTCCCATAGACGAACAAACACTATACATGAATGTGTGCCAAGTGGCACTCAAGTAACTATCCATACAATATTCCAAGTCAGCAATCCTAATCTAAACATAGTTGATCGTCACAACCATCTATTCTTCCTGTTCGTTTCCTACTGAATGCCTTGTCCTCGAACCATCACCAACTATGTGAAGGGCAGCATCGCTTGAGTCCTTGTCCGAGCGTTAAATCAACATACCATCGCAATAGTTCACCAATCATCGCCTCGCTCGGAAACCATCACACCGATTCCAACCAATGCATCGCTTTGCAAACCGTTGTGTCCCTTCGCATTTATCGCATCACTTCGGATCCAAATGTCGGTTCACACTAAGCAATGCATCGCTTCGCAAGCGTCGCGTCGTTTCGCAACCCATCGTGCTGCTTCGCAAGCATCACAACCCTTGGCAAGTGTCGCGATGCTTCAAAGCTTTGTGCCACATCCCAAGCGTCACGTCACTTCGCTGCTCAAGCCAAGTGCGCACAAGCTAAGGCTCGCCACGAGCCTTCGCATAAACCCAAGTCACTAAGCTCACCAAGCATCAAGGCAACCTTGTGCCAAGGTCTAGGTAGCCCTTGCTACGTTTTCAGTAGCTGCCTTGTGCCAAGGTCTAGGTACCATGCTTCATGGCCTTAGCCAAGGAGCTGCCTATGGCCGGCCTCCAGCCATACCCACCCCCTATAGAGCTTCCAGGCTTGAAATACTAGTGAACACGCAAGTGACAGTAACACAATAATAGCCTGCACTTGGGGCCAACACCCATCTAATGGACCTTGGCTTAACCAAACCAATATAGTGAAGCACCCTAGTGCCTTTGTTTATTTAAAAGCCACACCATAGGGTCATATAGTACTATTTACATAGTTTGCCTTGCCTAGTGCTGAGCTGCCAGTGTGCCTTTGCCTAGGCATGCCATACCGCGCATGGCACAATAGGGGTCTTACACAAAGCATGGTCAAGCACTCTCAAAATGAAGCCTCTTTGTGCTCCGCATTATTTTTTTCAGTCACATAAGCTTCACTTATTTCATCTTTGTGTCAAGGGTAAAGTTTAATGTCTCTATAGCAATGTTATTTATAGATTTGTATCTAAGCTAGAAGAATGCCTCCATACTGTCCATAGCTAATTTGATAATTGCTAATTATTGGTATTGACATCCGGTACCTAATGCCCAGTTCCGTGTCTATATCTGATGAGGCTTACGTCCTAGTCTTTGACCTTTCTCCTTGATAACAGTTTCGTAGGGCTCTTTAACATGCATAGTCATCTTATTTAGGTCTGGTCTTTACTCCATGATTTTCTCCCAGAATTTCTGTCTTCAGCCCAAAATAAAAAGGAAGAAAAAGAGCTACATGATTCATTCTCATAAGAAATGCAACATTTTAATTTAATAATTAATACCCAAAAGATAAAGAATAAAGAAACTTTGACTCCAAAGTAGCATATAGTATCCAAACATGAAACTCTTCTGTGCTGTTATCTTAGCTTTTGTTGCAATGTTATTGGACAGTTGACTTCGTCTTCTATAGCCAAAAGGAGTAGGACAATTGCTATTCTATTTACAATTTTAGATTTGAAGTATTTAGAGCATAAGAGTAATATGAATTCATGATTGAGCTAGTTAGATTGGGGTTGAAATGGTAGGTAACTGTATTGAATGTGTTTAAGGGATAGTAATTCTCAATTGTATCCCTGAAATTCTGTGTAATATTTTTTTCTTCCACTACATGTGATATGTGATATTTCCAGATTTTCCCATGTATATGGGTTTCCCGTTCCCTTGCTATTTCTCTGTTTTTCTCAAAATTTTCCGTAGCTTTCTGTAAATGGTTTGAAATCTAATATTAGGAAAGAGGATAGGTAAAAAAAATGATTAATTGACATTGTATCTTTGACCACGCTTTGGTTCCTACTACTTCCTTTGTTCTTAAAACTATTCTCAGTGGTTTCTAGCTGCTTCATTATCTCCCAGAATATGTCATCCCCATCCTTATTGTGCTTGTAAATCTGAGCCTAATATGTTTGAAGACTACTTAGAGCTAATGTTTTGCAAATACAGAACCAAATTAATTGCATGTACAAATATATTCATTAACACCTGTGACTAAGGAGTAAAACTGGAAATTACTTCCTCTTGTTCATTTTCTTATTCACTTTTTAATACCCTTGTTTATAGAATGTCTTGCTTATTATATTGATTGGCCTTTCAGGTGGCTGTGCTGTCAGCCTGTGCTCATGCTGGTTTAATTGACAGAGCCAAACAATATTTCTATGCTATGTACTCTGATTATGGCGTAGTACCAAGCCCACGACACTATACATGTATGATTGATCTTCTAGGCCGAGCAGGAAGTTTAGATGAAGCACAGCATTTGATCAGGAACATGCCATTTTCACCAGATGCTGCAACGTGGGGTGCCTTGCTTGGTGCAGCTAAGGTTCATGGGAATATTGAGCTTGCAGAAAAGGCTGCTGAGAATATCTTTAAAATGGAGCCTGATAACTCAGGAATGTATGTGCTTCTTTCAAATTTATATGCAGCTTCAGGAAGATGGTATGATGTTCGACAAATGAGATTGAAAATGAGGGACAAAGGGATTAAAAAGGTGCCTGGGTATAGTTGGCTTGAAGTGCAAAACAACATCCATACATTTGCAGCTGGAGATACTTGCCACCCAGAAAAAGACAGGATTTATTCATTCTTAGAAGAGTTGGAATCAAGAATGAAGCAAGATGGTTATGTGTCGTCCATAAAGTTGGTGTTACACGATGTTGATGAGGAGGAAAAAGAGCACATGCTCAAGTATCATAGTGAAAGACTAGCTGTTGTTTATGGAATTTTGACCTTACCGAAACACAAACCAATACGTGTTATGAAAAACTTGAGAATTTGTGAAGATTGCCATACAGCTATTAAGCACATTTCGAAGCTTGAAAGAAGGCTTATTATAGTAAGAGATTCTAATCGGTTTCACCATTTCAAGCAAGGAGAATGTTCTTGTGGGGATTACTGGTGAGAATGAAGAGATTCAAATTGAAACTAGAAAAAGATGCAACTACTTTCAATCATCTGGCATAATTTCATATTAGTAGTGGCTTCTGGAATCAATTGTGTGCCTTTTGTTAACGAACAGTTAAGCAGTATTGAACGAGATTTACTCTTTGGACAGTAAGGTCAATCTTGTGTTGCTGAAACTGGGCAGTCTTGTCTGCAGAAATTTTTAGCTATCACTCCATCAGATTAAGTTGGAATTTGGTCTGAGACAGAAGCTGTATTATATGTAGCTTCCTGAAGTGATTAGTGTGATTTTGATTGGAAGAAATGAGAAAAATTTTAAGCGACAATGTAAGCCACCTGAGCAAGTGTTCGGAAAAAAAAAAAAAAAAAAAAAATCAAGTTGCTTGCAAGAATAATACTAATATGAGGGATCTCATATGTAATTTCTTTCTTTTTGATGAATTGGTGCTTGTTAATTTCGGTGCAGGTCAGATTACGGATGTTTGGAGCTGTGACAATTTGAAGAGCTTGTTTTCTGATGTAATAAGTTGGTCAAGTATACCCTCCAGTTATACTGCAGACGAAGTGGTGAAAATGATGTTTCTATGATGAAGCAGTTCTTGTTTTCTTCTCTGTTATGCAGCTATGCTTGGGCCTTGGCGGTAAGTGTCAGATCTGTTCATACTTAGCTCTCTTAATCAGTCTAATAGATGCAGGAAAGAATTCTGATCTGAAACCTACATACCTGTTGCAATCAGATACAATGATGCGCTGAGGTCATGTGCAGTGTTGCTATTTCAAGGTCCTTAGTTGCTGAGAACTCTGGGATTGTACAGAAAGCGGACCAAAAGGAAGCAACTGATTAAACATTAATTAGTGATATTTCATGGTGCTATTTCCATCTTTACCTCTTCCTCGGAGCAGGGGTATGTATAAAAATTGATGCATCACATAGTTTTGATGATACACTTCAAATTTGTATTTCATCACATAGTTTTGATGATACACTTCAAATTTGTATTTCACTTTTGGTGTTAATAAATAAAAATTTTGTTGCACAAAATTGTCATAACTAGTTATGTTGGACGTTGTTTGGACTTTTTATAATGTTAGGCGAAAAACTAACCTCAGGTGCACCTACCTCTATGTACACCCTGGTGTATATAAAAGGTGTTGACACCAAACATCTTACAATAAAATTGGAAGAAGCTGTAAAATTTGAATGAAAGAAATGAACTTTTTTTTTACTGAGCACAAAGTTTTTGTCTTTCTCTACACTCTTAAAGTGAACTTAGAGCCAATAGTTTAAAACTCACGCTGCAGATTATTCCTGTTGTTAACTGAGGTACAAGAGCATCAAGTAGAGATTGAACAGCTGAAAAACTGTTGACTTCAGAAACGATTGTCTTTAAAGCTATACTTGCAGCATCTCTGTGTTCGTTCATATTCAGAAGCTTTTCACAAAGTTTGCTTGTCGTATCCAGCACCCTTGCCTCATTGACCTCCTTCACTAATTGAGCAAGACTGGAGAAAATGGTAAATGAGTCAATAGTATTTTATAATAATTGCAATCAAACATTGTAACCTCAATTTCCTTTTACATTTATATCATAAAGAAGAGAAATGCAGCATGAATTATTTGTGAATGGCTAAGCGAGCAAGAAAATAACCATTGTATTTCATATATGTTTCAAGGAATATAAGTCACTAAAGTGGCATTCTCAAACTAATTTACTATATACTATATAGGTATATTGAAATAAATTCCACAAGTAAAAGATGAACTCAAATAACTAAGTAGCACACCCCAACACATAATGTATAAGATCAACTTAAGAAAACTTAATGCTCAAAATGTAAGGTCTTGATAGATTGGTGACCATTGGTCTTTAGCACACAATAATGGCAACATTCACTTTACTGCCTAGTGCATCAAGCTCAAGTGTGCAAGATAATTATCATCAGAATCATCATCTGAAAGCCTTCAGTAAATTTCACCATCTGAATATATTAGCTTAATAGCTGTTATTTGCATCGTCAAACTTACATCTAGTGAAGCACATTTGCCCTGACATGTTGAGCATAAGTGGTAAAGCGAAGACATTATGCAATACATCTTTAGTCACTTTACTATGCCACCTCAGTCTGGCTATATAGTATTTAATTATGTTTTAGCAGAGCTTTGGCTATCCATTTGCGATATGAACCTAGCCTAATTCATAAAAGTGTAACGAGGTTATCATCGTTAATTACTTAATCCTATTATGTATAAGCAATAATTCCGCTGCACTACTTTTGGTATCTCTCTAGAGAACAGGATCAGCAATCGATACCATACAAATTTCTGACATTGTGACCTTGATTTACTACAGATAATAGATAAAGAAAGAACCTGGTTGACGGGCTGGAAGTGGGCACGATGCAGAGGAGGCCAAACAAGTAACAACCCATTTTGCCTCTTCAGCTTCTTCAGTACCTCGTTCCATATCCAGCCTGAAGATCAAAACCCCTATTCTTCAGAACCTTCTTCCTTATTTCATACCAAAATATTGTGCACGTTATCAGAATCATGTTGCTCAATCTTGCGTATTTAGTTTCTAATATCTGAAAAAAGAAGAAGCAAGACAGAACTTAATTCTAAATGGAAGAAGTTCATCTCTTGTCAAGTGAATGATATATTGCTGGAAGTTCGAAATCCAGAAAATACACAACCCAACTCCCAACCTCTTCAACATGAATCAACGAACCAATAACAGCAATAGATACTATGGACAAAGACTTATCAAGTCACACATTATGGACATCATAAGAGGCCTTACATAATGCAGTTTAGAGAGAATCAATGTCCAATGCTAAAAACACAAAAGAGAGGAAATTACTGGTAAGTGATGACTTGTCAGTTACATCATAAACCAACAGAATACCCATTAGCAAACACAAAGTCATATACTATGGGGATTCAAATTAATATGCATAGAAAACAGGCGACTAAGTCCCATAAAACACATTTTAAGACCAATCTAAGATAAAATTACCAAAATGTAATTCACATTTCACCGATTCAACTTCAATCAAACTACATATAACAGTCATATCATCATTAATCAACCAATCTAAGCTGAAATTACCAAATCATTACATAATCGGAATGAATACAATTTTTTAAAGAATTAAAGTAAGTCGTCAAGTACTCTAAACAATTTAGCCTATTAATTTGGGTTCAAATGTGAATTTTTGAAAAAGGTCCTAAATTTCTATTGTAAGAATTAAAACTAAATAAATACAGAGGAAATCGAACATTATTATTACGATCATATTAAAAAAAAAAAAAAATCAATTAACTTTCACAAGGTTAATTGGCCTATAATGACAAACTTTCCACCAATTAACTTTTTTTTTTTTTAACAAAGGTTAATTGGCCCCAACCGAAGGCTACTATCACAAGAAGCCTGCTGGTAATGCCCAGTGGGGATAGGGGATAGGATTGGTGCCTGATAAAAATCAAACCTCGCATCTCAAGGATGCAAGACGACCTCTGGACCACTGCTCCAAGAGGTCTTTCTCACTTTCCACCGATTCATAGCTTGACCCACAGTGAAATTATAGCCTAATATAACAAAATCATCAAACTTTATTTTATTTTTATTCAATAAATAAACAAAAACAATCTCCCACTCTAATTACGAAAAGAGCCACGGAGTATTATTATTACGGTGTATTATAAAAAAATACATATACTATACTCCCTCCGTTAAATATTATCTACAACTTTTGCCATTTCGGGATGATTAAAGTTATGTGCAACAACCTATTTTCTTTCTATTTTAAGTAAACAAAAACCCTAGAAATTACATATTTACCATTACTTAAAAATTCTGATTTTCTTAATTTTACCCTTATCTTAGTTTAATCACAATAATCTTTTTAATCTAATCTAAAATCATTAACCTAATTCTACCCACCCTATTTACTCATCTGCTAGTCTACCCACCACCCATTCATTTCTTTCTTCAACCTCTCTTCATCACCTTCACCTTCTCCCTCTACATCTCTTTCACCTTCACAGTCACGACCACCGCCCCTCCCACCACCATTCTCTCTCCTCCTTCACGACCACCGCCCCTCCCACCACCATTCTCTCTCCTCCTTCACGACCACCTTCCATCTCACCACCGTCTTTCTCCTCCCTATGACCACGACCCTTAGCTCCCACCACCACGAACGATCCTCTTCATCTCTCCTGGACTTTATGAGCTTTGATTTTCTGGACTTTGATTTCAATTTTCTAGTTTTGATTTTCAAGGTTTTGATTTCGATTTTTGGGTTTTGATTTCGATTTTCTGAGTTTTGGTGTTCTGGGTTTTGATTTTGATTGAAGGTGATGATGATGGTCTTGGTGGCGTGGGTGGTGGGGTGGTTTGGGTTAGAGGTGGGTCTTGGTGGCGTGGGTGGTGGGGTGGTCTGGGTTAGAGGTGGGTTTGGGTGGTGGGGTGGTCTGGGTTGGAGGTGGGTCTGGGTGGTGCGGTGGTCTGGGTTGGAGGTGGGTCTGGGTGGTGCGGTGGTCTGGGTTAGAGGTGGGTCTAGGTGGTGCGGTGGTCTAGGTTAGAGGTGGGTTTGGGTGGTGGGGTGGTCTGGGTTAGAGGTGGGTTTGGGTGGTGGGGTGGTCTGGGTTGGAGGTGGGTCTGGGTGGTGCGGTGGTCTGGGTTGGAGGTGGTTAGTGCTGGTGGTGGTAGTGGTTTCGTGGGGTTGGTAGTGGTGGTGGTTTCGTGGGGTTGGTAGTGGTGTTGTTGAAGGCGGCGGTGGTGTTGGTGAAGGCGGTGTTGGCTGGTCTTTGCCACTTAATTACATTCTCTCTCCACCTTAATTTCATGCCACAAGTTACTTAACTTTCTCTAATCTTTGCCCCTTAACTTTTGCTTTGGTTTCCGCAAACTCCCATTTTGTTGCAGATAATATTTAATGGAGGGAGTATTATAAAAACAGGGCAATATTTATATACTTCCTCCATCTCTTATATAAATGTTTATTACTCTTTATTATGTGAGTAATAAATATTATAAATAGACATGTAAATAAGGGACGGAGAGAGTATCTACTTTTATCTTGTATTTAGAAAAACGAAAAGTAGGGTTCTAGTGTGGTACCATAAGTCCGATTAGGGCGATGGCTGGGCGACATCTTCTTCTCTGGAAAAAAGCAACATCGAAAGTGAAATTCAGCACCAGTATCGGAACTATGTATGCTTCAAGGTTGCATCGTCGTCGTCGTAGTGTTGATGATGTAATGAGCGCAAATGTAATTGAAAAGTTAACACGTAATTCATTAAAGAAAAAAATAAAGCTTCAGAGCGATTTAGCTGATTGGGCCATGCCCGTTTCTAAGATTCTGATGGCCTATGGGCGAAATAACAAATTGGGTCCTTAATTATAAAGTAAAGTAAAAAATTTAAATTTGCATATATAAAATATTTTTTTCTTCAAAATAATACATTAGTTTTAATACACATTTAAAACTTCAATTTAAGCATCCAAAGACGACTACTAAAACATTTCTTCTGCTGTATTGTGGTCTACTCACTTTTACGGTAGTCCTTATATGAAAGCTTTTACTTAATTTTTTTTATCACCCACAACTCTACAAAATGCCATATTAAAGTATAATATTCTAAAATCACAAAATTTAGCTAGAGACATAACCTTGAATCCATAATGGAATACATGAAAGTTCAATACACGTGAAATTAAAATATTAAATTTGGAGAAAATAATTGGTGGAAGAAGTTATGCATGTGAATAGTGAAAGTAGTAGAAAACAGGAGCATTTATTATTCATCTAATTTTAAAAAAAGCAAAGAATTTATTCATCAAATTTCTATAACTAAAACTGAACAAATTGTAATTGAACCCCTAATTCCTTAGGCCCTGGGCAGCGGCACCTAATGCCCTGCCCAGGGACGACCCTGATTGGGGCGACCCTGTTTTTCCCGCTACATTTTGGGATTGTGTTTGCAGCAAAAATGCGGATATTTTGAAAGGTTTGTTGAAGGATATGAGGAACCTTAACAGAAAGAATATGACCAAACTTGAAAGAAAGACAAAAGAGGCGGAGTTGATCAAGCAACAACTAGAGGATATCGATGCCAAGGATGGGGTGTATGGATCAATGTTTCATGTTCATGATCAAGCTATCGCTAACATTGCACGTCACATTGTTCAAGGGTACAATCAGCAACAAGTTTTTTTCTTTTCTTATTTATTTATTTATTTTTTAATTTTTTTTCCCTTACGCTAGTTTTCTGAGTTTTGTAGAAGGAAAATTTGTTGAAAACCATCTTATAATTTTTTTTTTGTCCAAGCACACCTGTTTTTAATTTTTTTTTTGTTAAGTCCCACCACTCCCCGTATTCCGACAATTGACTTAAATTTTTGGCGTTGACTAGCATGTGCACCTCACGTGACCCACTTAACCCTACTTTTCTTATATTTTTGGAAAAATGGAAACTAATAATCCCACCTTTAAGTTTTCTGCTCAAAACAATCTCACCTTTTCGAAATCCCTAAACAATCCCACCTTTAACCACCATCTGCTTAAAACAAGCCTTTTACTGATTTGTAAAATTGGTAACCTGTTTCAGAAGGTAATTTGCCACGTGTCACATTTTGATTGATTTTTTTTTAAAAAATTAAAAAACAAATAAAAGAATTAAAAAAAAATCCTTCTCTCCCCTTCCCAGGACCAATGGCTCGCCATTAAAACCACCCTCCCCTTGCCAGAGAAAACATACTTAGCATACTCTGTGATACCGACTTGTCGGCGAAGCTCTCACCAATGGACTCAAACAAAACGCAAAATTCGCATAATTTGTTAGCCACCAACCTCGCCGGACTCGCCTTGAATCGGCCCGGACTCACCGGTTACTGCACCGAGTTAACTCACAAGGTCCAACCACCGAAATCGACGATGAACTCACATTCTCACAACACTCGATTTAGATCAGAATAATTTCGAGATAAGACTAAATTGTTGTTGTTCGCAACGGCGGCGGTTACGGCAAAACAGACCTCGAGTTTCGCGTGGGCCAGATAGGAGAAGGTGAGGTTTGCCGATTTGGTGGCATGGAATATGGTTGGGAGTACGTGGTGGAGGTCAGGTGGATCGCTTGGGTTAGGTGAGGGGGTCAGCTAGGATTTGAGGGTGGTTGGGTTTAGGGATTGGGTGGGGGGTTCTGCTGACCAGGCGGCGAGGTTGGGTGGTGTGGTGCAGTGGCGGGGGGTTCTGTTGGACCAGGCGAGGTTGGGTCAGGTAGTGATGTGGTGGTGTTGATGAAGTGGTGGTCTGGTTATGCTGGGGTTGGTGATAATGGTGGAGTTGCCATTGAAGAGGTTAGGGAGAAGAGATTTAAGAAATTAATAAAAAAAAATCAACCTATTATGGGTAAAAGGGATCATTTTGAGCAGATGGGGGTTAAAGGTGGGATTGTTTTGGGATTTCGAAAAGGTGAGATTGTTTTGAGCAGAAAACCCAAAGGTGGGATTATTAGTTTCCATTTTTTCCTTTATTTTTTTCCCTTTTTCCCTCCATTCACTTTTCCTTTTCGTCACTCCTTTGCTTCCATTTCGCACAACGGTGGCTTCTCCTTTCTGCAACTCAGAGGCATATCTAATTGAAGATCCATCAAAATCGTATCAAACACAAAGGGAAAACGCAATTCAAGCAAGCATTTATACGAATTTATTTATTTTTTAAAGTTTGAACAATTAATTTAAGGAATTTGAAAATTAGGGTTCATAACCAATTGAATGAACTGAATTTCGAAAATTTGGGGATGCGTTTTGCTATTCGTTTTATAGCAATTTAAATTTTGCGATTTGTGTTTTTCGATTTGTTTTATAGCAATTTGTGTTTTGCTTTTTGTTTTATGCGAATTATAAGATATGTTCTGCAATTTGTGTTGTGATGTGTAACTGTTTATGGGGTGTATTGTCAGGTAGGATGGCTGTTGTTAATTCACCAAGAAGGGACCAAAAAATGGAGAAGATGAAGAGGATGTACAGGGAAACAGGAATGGTGATATGTGCCTGTGTTGTTGTATCTGTTGCTGTTAGCATTATTGCTACTAAAATTGTTGCTTAGTTTCATTTATTGAATTTGGTAGCTTTTAGGAGAACTAATGGTGATTGTAATGGTTCAGTTTATGTACTGTTCTGCGAAATGGAAGCAGAGGAGTGACGAAGAGGGGAAGTGAATGGAGGAAAAAGGGGAAAAAAATAAAAGAAAAGTGGGGTTAAGTGGGTTACCTGAGGTGCACATGCTAGTCAACGCCGAAAATGTAAGTCAATCGTCGAAATCCGGGGAGTGGTGGGACTTAACAAAAAAAAAAAGTTAAAACAGGTGTGCCTTGACAAAATAAAAATAAAAATTATAAGATCGTTTTCAACAAAATTTGGTTTTTATAAGATGGTTTTCAACAAATTTTCCTTTATAGTTTGGTTGAATTGATCTTTTAACATTGTAGAATGCAACGCTGGAGTTTGCAAGGGTGATCGATGTAGTTCCTGACCCTTTTCCCTTGGACTACCATTTATGGATTGAAGCTCGTGACCTTAAAGCTGCCTCTGTACCCATCAAACTCCAAGCTTTTTATACCATCAACACTAAGGAATTCAAAGTTAATGTTGTTCAACCAGGTGCATTTTTATTATTAGTTATTAGTATTATTAATGATTTTGTTGTAATCTTGGAAACAATTAGTTAATTAATGGGTTGTGCTATGATTATGATTATGAATGACAGTCTCTTACATGAAGTTCCTTCAGAAGTTGAGCTAGGAAGATCGTGAAACCCTACTATACGCAAACATCCGATATTGTCCCATAATTGCAAAGCATCTAGGTCTTAAGGGTCGGCATGAAGTGTTTTGTAAGCTTCTCTCGCGTCTCAGGCTGCCTTATGATGATTTTTCCGGTATGGGATGACCCCAAATCAAAAATGATGATCCGCCTCCTAGTCCTAAGTGTTTTGGGTAAAAATACCCAAGGCCACGGGGCCCAATAAAATGGTGACGGTGTCACCTTTTAAGAGAGGTTCAAAATGAACCAATCCTTTATTGACACGTGGCATCCCCAATCATTGGGAAAAAGGCGGCTCTCAAGGCCCAATTCCCGGGATAGCCCACCATTCCTAGGTTTCCATAACCTAGGATGGCAGCACGCATCCTAAGACCCTATAAATAGGGAGATGTTCTCACCTGGGAAATGGTCCAAAAAATATTCCCAAAAACGGAGCAATTCTTAATTGCAGATATTATTCCTGATCTCGGAATCTGAGAAGCAACTTTACATTCCTCACTTTTTATCTTCCGAATACGTTTTAACTTGATCGTCGGAGGCAGAACTCCACCCAATCGGAGTCTCTGTTGTTTTGCAGGTACAGGCGTCCGGAGTCCAGTCTTGGTGTTGTAACTCTCCCGAGGGACACTGAAAACCCCTATACATTTGGCGCCGTCTGTGGGGAGAGTACCTCTAACATGGCTTCACAAGAACCTGTATCGCCTCCTAATGAGAAACGGCCTAAGACCAAATTTGAGGTCTATTCGGACCATGATACTGATGATGACATTGAAGTCGAAACGTATGTGGCCGCTGATGGGTCACTCAGAATCAGGCGCACCCGTCCTAAGTAAAGAATGGAACGGGGCGTTGATTAAGCTGGTCCTAGTAAATCATCCGGATAGCCGTCTGAACAACACCAGGCGGCAGAATGTACAACCCCCATCACCCGAGACGAACTCATGAAATTCATGACAAGTTTCAAGGGGGAGATAAAGGACTTGAACAACAAGAGGATGGCTGGCCCCAACAGAGGTCAGTTGGCCAAGAAGCCTTCTCTCTCTGAGAAGAACAAGCCGGTTAGGGACCGAGAGCCCACTCCGCATCCAAGATCAAAGGAGGGGAAGCGGCCCTTGATCGATCTTACTAAAATCCGATTCCCTAAGGTAGGGAAGAGGAAGGTCATTTGGCATGTCCAGCCGGACGGCTCAAAGAAGTCATACTCTAATGCCCGGATGTTAATCCAGCAGAAGAAAAGCCAACAGTTGTCTGAGTTGGCTTCAACGTCGACTTACCCAGACAGCTTCCACAATACCTCAATGAAGTATTCATAATCAAACCGAGAGAGTTAGTCAGGCGGCTTGTCCATCCGTACTGGCCCTCAGATTATCCATTCGGCTCCGTATGTGCCTCAGCAGCCATACATGCCGTATGTGTAGGGTTTCGTAGTGACCCGACACTACGCGGAAGGAAACCCACCAAGACCTGCCCCTTAATTAAAGCAATTAAACAAGCATAATAAACTTAATCAAACAAGATCAAGGACAAGAATTATACCTTTGACGCGTGCTTCGCTCCTAAAGAGCTCTTACTTCAAAATCCCGAAAAGACGAGATCTCTGACGGATCGTACCCTCGACCCGACCCGAGCGTCCTAAGTCTTGAAGGTTAGTCAAGACCCGGACAAAATAACTATGAGTTTTACGAATCAAAGGTTTACTCTTTTTCTTAGAGTTGCCTTTTTAATTCCACTCAAGGTTGTATCAAATCCCAATACCAAGCTTGGTATTTATAGGGAAATGATCCCTTGATTTCCAATCTCTCATCAATGTGGGAGAGTTGGTAAAATGATAATTATTTAATTCCAAAATTAAATAATTAATCAACTCAATCACAAATCGACACATGGCACAAATATAGAGAAAGCCAAGTGAGGACCAAGGCTTGGGGGGGACCATTGCCTTGATCCCCAAGGCCATGTATTGGTCCCTACACACCATGCCCAAAACCGAGTCAAGGTGTGCTAGCTGGGTGCCAGCTAGCGTGCCTTGCTGCCCAGCACCCAGCCAGCCAGCCAGTGCACGCTGCTGCTGGGATGTGCTGGTGCTACGTGCTGGCGCTGGGCGCTGCTAGCACCTAGTGCTGGCATTAGCCCCAGCAGCCCACGCACTCACTCTTCGCGCCTCACTGCTAGCACAGCCAGCATGCGTGCTGCTAGCGAGCCACGCATGCTGGCCACACTGCCCCCCGCACCATTCGCATACCCCATCGCATACACGCACTAGCACAATGCCTACGCTAGCACTAGCCAGTGCCTAGCACTGCTTGTGCTTGATGCGAGGCATGTGCGCACGTACACGCACTCGCATGCGTGGCGCTGCTGCCTAGCACCTAGCCAGGCATTGCACGCACACGCACCAGCCATGCGCCACGCACCACGCACTGCCAGCCCACACGCATCACATGCGAGGCTGCTTGTGCGAGGCTAGTGTGCGAGGCTGCGAGTGCCAGGCTCTAGCATCGAGCTGGCGCGCAGCCCCTCGCATGTGCTGCGATGCTTAGTGCTGCCATGCGAAGGCTAGCACTCAAGCACACGCACATGGCGCGCCATTGCCAGGCAGCTAGCCATGCCAGCACCTGGTGCTTGCGATGGTGCTGCCAGGCCAGACACGCACGCACGTAGCACCTAGTGGTTGCGATGGTGCGCCTGGTGATGCCATGGCCTGCGATAGGCGCCATATGCACCCAGGCACCACGCTAGCATGCTTGCTAGCTGCTATGGGCTGCCTGGTGCCTGTGTGGCCTGCGATGGCTGCCATGCGCACCTAGGCACCCATGCTAGCTTGCGATGGGCTGCTAGGGTGCGCCTAGGCTGCGATGGTGCCTAGCACACCATGGTGCGCCTAGCACACACATGGTGCACCTAGGTTTGCGATGAGCTAGCCTAGCCTAGCTATGGCTACGCTCATGCTTGTCGATTGTGATTTTGCGACGCTCGGTATCGACGCCCTAGGCTCGATTTCCGACGTCTGTATTCGTAAAACTCTGTCGACTCATTAAATCCTTTTGGATTAATTCGACGTCTCGGATCGGAGATTCGATTGGGTTCGACCCGAAGGGTTCAGTTAAGATTAAGCTGTAATATCAATTGTATCCTGATATTACTGATCGGAAGCGGCCTCCACCTAGGCATTCTGATCACTTGACCTTACTGAAGAATTACCTCTGTAATAATTCTGAACCTTCTATCGGAATAATACACTTGTTGGAAGGACACCATTCCTTTCAATCTCCCACTTGTCCTTCCGGACAAGTGTGCATATTGTGTATAGCTCATTTCTTTTGTCACTTAATGTTTCTTCGTGAACTATATGGTAAGATTCTTTTTCATCCTTATTACGTCTTTAAGTGTTTCTCGATCTCCAAGTTTGACTGTCAATAAACAGATGATTTCTAAAATCCATCTGAGCATGGCCATGCATTTTACAGTCTCACTCTTCGAGCGGCCTTTTAAACAACAAAATTTTTTCCTATTGTTAGTAGGGGGACAATCCCAATCTTGTATTGTAAGTTCTTCTTACTGAGAGGACATAGACTCCCGAGTGTTCCCGTTATGATCCCCAGTTACGGAAGACGTTAGGAAACATCAAAGAGCCTAGTACTCAAACAAGAAAACTTCACAGTACTCATGGTCTGAGGAAATAAGTTCCGATAGCCATAATGAGAAACATACTTATGACAAAATTTAATTTTCTTAAAGTACTCTCATAGGTCTTATCCAGTACAGTTCCAAACTGTACCTGTGCAAATGATTTATGACTGTCACGTCCTCGCAGCACAAGAAACGGTGCTGTAAATCTTACTACACACTAATCTATTGCGGTCATCAATCGTCCATCTGTTAGATGACTCGATTAGGGATACTTTTTGATTTAATATTCAATGTTCACTTAACAGGTGTTTCTTTATCCAAGACATGGTCTTGATACCCTGTTTTGAATATTTCCGTAAATCGAATGGACTCATTATTTAATTCTAAACCACAATTAAATAGTAATGGAGTAAATGATAATTTTGCAAAAAAAATTAATTACTCCATTAATGAATGGTTTTAGTACAGTGTCTTACATTAAATCAACCCTGTTTAATTAAAACACTTGTACAGGGAATATCAAAGCCAGTCTCCAACATGCTTGATTCCCATTGCCTCAACGTGTTTGTTGTGTTTCACTTGAGGCAAAGGTTTAGTTAAAGGATCGGCTACATTATCATCCGTGCCGATCTTACAAATTCTGATTTCACCTTCGGATTTCCATTCCCTTATCATGTGAAATCGCCGTTGCACGTGTTTGACCTTCTGGTGTTCTCTCGGCTCCCTGGCCTGAGCGATAGCTCCATTATTATCACAATAAAGGTCTATCGGTCCCTTGATTGAGGGTACAACACCAAGTTCACTGATGAACTTGCGAATCCAAACAGCTTCCTTGGCTGCTTCCGAAGCGGCCAAGTACTCGGCTTCAGTTGTAGAGTCTGCAGCGGTGCTCTGCTTGGCACTCTTCCAGCTGAACGCTCCTCCATTCAGACAGAATACATATCCCGACTGTGACTTGAAGTCGTCTCTGTCAGTCTGGAAGCTAGCGTCGGTGTAACCTTCAACAACCAGTTCTTTGTGGCCTCCATACACCAGGAATTTATCCTTGATCCTTTGCAGGTACTTAAGGATATTCTTGGCCGCAGTCCAATGCGCCTCTCCTGGGTTCGATTGGTATCGACTCGTTGCACTCAGGGCATACGATACATCCGGCCTTGTACATATCATGGCATACATGATCGATCCGATTAGCGAAGCATATGGGATCTGATTCATTCTTTCTCGCTCAACAGGTGTCTGTGGACACTG